ATCTTTCTAATCTAGTCATCTACTTTTGGGCATTTGGGCTGCTTCCATGTTTTTCCAATTGTAAATAAAGCAGCAATAAACATGGGGGTACAGGTATCTTTTTCAATCAGTGTTTTTGTGTCTTTTGGGTAGATACCTAGGGGCACTCCTTTACTTTTATAATTAAAGTTTTATTGGAACACAGACGAGCATTAGTCTGCCTATTGTCTGTGGACGCTTTTCTGTTACAAGGGCAATCGAATAATTGCATCAGAGACTATTTGGGCTTCAAACCTAAAATATTTATTATGTGGCCCTTTACAGAAAAATGTGCTGACCCATTTCTCAGCATGTAGGTTCATTACAAATTCTCTGTGTGGCCTCTATGTCTTTTACTGCAGCTTCAAGTGTCCTGCCTGTCCTTCTTCTCTTACTGAGATACACCTGCTCACTTACCTGCTCACCTTTCTCTCTGTTTATGTGTGTTTTTATTCATTAAGACTAGAATGGCCATCCCATGCGGACAACAGGGGCCTCTGCATTTTCTCACTGCTGGATCCCAATGTGAGGGCATATATGAGTTCAGCAAAGGGTTCTTAAATGAATGTGTGAGGGAGAAACCCCAAACTGGTAATGCTGGTTTCTTAAATAGAGGTGAAATTCACATAGCATAAAATTCACAATATTAATGTGTATAATTCAGAGGCATTTAGGATATTCACAGTGTTGTGCATTATGACACTACCATCTGTGTCTGATTCTAGAACTTTCCATCTCCCTAAAAGAGACCCCATCCCCATGAACAGTTTTTCCCCATCCCCTCCCCCCAAGCCTGAGAACCATTAATCTACTTTCTGTCAGTAAGGATTCACCTGCTCAGGACATTTTATATCCATGGATCACACACCATGTGGCCCTTGTGTCTGGCCTCTCACTCAGCACCATGTTTTGGAGGTTCACCCACAGTGGAGCGTGTGTCACTGCTTCTGGTTGCTTTCTGTGGCTCAGTGCTACACCCTATCTGTAATGGACTGTTTGTCTTGAACTATTGATGGACAGTTGAGCTTTTCCCACCAGTTTTGTTACAAACATGTGTACAGAGTTCAGTCTCTGTTATCAGTTCTCTTGGATCCATATCTAGGAGAAGGATTGGAATTTTTTTAAAGATTTATTTATTTAGGCATACAGAGCTGGGTACAGGCCAAAGGTGCAGGGGGTGAGAGGATTCACCAGAGACAGAGTGGGGAGCAGAACAGGCAGATCTACTGAAACACACTGCTGAGGGGAGCAGCAGGTGGGTCAGGAAAGGTCTGCTGCACCATGTGGGTCACCTCCCTGGCGGGGGATCAAACTCGTGCTGCAGTGGCTGTGGACAGCTTCATAGTGCTTTGCTTTAACCTGTTGTGCCACCAGGGAGGACCCCTGGATTGGCATGTTCTACAATAAGTCTGTGTTCAATGTTTTGAGTTTGATGGTATTGTTTTACAACGGCGCCACTTTACACATAATCACTGTGCTGCCAATAACAAGATTTTTTTGAGTATAATGGTTAAAGCAGTGCAATTCTTGGTGCAGCCCCTGCATCATCAATAGCCTCAGCATCTCCTCGGAGTTTGTTGGCAATGCAAACCTGTGGGTCCCACCCAGACCTGCTGAATCAGAACTGCTAAGAAGTGGGGCCCAGCCATGTGGTTTTCTCAAATCTACCTGATAACTCTGGTAAGCTATGTCTCAGGCCAAATCCAGCCCATCCCTTGTTTTCATAAATTAAGTTTTATCAGTACTCACAAGAACATTAATTTGCATGCGATCTATGGTTATGACAGGGGACATGTGCTTAAGTTTGAGACCCAACACTCCTACCCCTGCAACGTATCTCCGAGCCTCCCTCTGCTGGCTTGGTGACATAAAAGTGACCCAATTCTCTTTCCATCTTTTTCATTTTTCCAGTCATAGAGTGGGAAATAGAGCAGGGCCTGCTGAGCCCTGTGGACGGGGACCAGGGAGCCACTGTCTTCCTGAGAGAGATTCAGGACCTCAACAAACACATTCTGGATGACTGTGCCCTCAAGATGGTGGACCGGCTGGCAGATGGTTGCCTGGACACAGATGCCCAGAACCTTCTCAGCGGCCTCAAGGGGCGCATTGCTGATACACAGCCTGGAGTCCTTAAGGCCCACCACCTGCATTGGAGCCGAGACCTGGTGAACCCCAAAAACAAGGCTCATGCCCGCTACTTAAAAGAACTGGGTGAGCAGTTTGTGGCCAGGGCCAACCACCAGATCCTGGAGCGTCTGCGGGAGCAGGAAGGGAACAGGCAAGAGCTGGTCTGGCTGTACCAAGAGATCCACCACCATCTAGCGCTGAGCACCGAAGCCACTCGGACCTTCTGCGGTCGCCAGGACCTCTTGGCTCAGCTTGGGCAGTGGCTGCGGCAGAACAACAGTGACCACCACACACCCTTGGTGCTCTGGGGGCCCCCTGGCATTGGAAAAACTGCTCTGATGTGCAAACTGGCCGAGCAAATGCCAGGGCTGCTCGGCCGCAAGACGGTGACTGTCCTCCGACTTCTGGGGACATCACAGATGAGCTCAGACGCCCGCGGCCTGCTGCAGAGCATCTGCTTCCAGGTGTGCCTGGCCTATGGGCTGCCCCTGCCCCCTGCCCAGGTCCTGGAGGCCCACGCCAGGGTGGTCCAGTTTTTTCATACCCTTCTCTACACAGTCTCCTGCCGAAACTTCGAGTCCCTGGTGATCCTGCTGGATTCTGTGGATGCTGTAGACTCCATGCACCAGGCACGGAGGATCCCCTGGCTGCCTCCCAGGTGCCCCCCTCGGGTCCACCTCATCCTCTCGGCCTGCTCTGGACAGCAGCGGAGCGTCCTAGACATCATGCGGCACACACTCACTGACCCAGGGGCCTACTGGGAGGTGAAACCCCTCTCTGGGAACCAAGGACAACAGATGATCCAGCTGCTGCTCTCAGCCTCAAGGCGGACCTTGAGCCAGGTGCAGAGGGACCTGCTGTGGGCCAGCCTCCCAGAGTGTGGGCACCCAGGGCGGCTGAGGCTGGCATTTGAGGAGGCTCGGAAATGGGCTTCCTTCACTGTGCCTGCCCCCCTGGCCTCTACTGCGCAGGAGGCCATACACCAGCTGTGCACCCGCCTGGAGCAGACGCATGGGCAGCTCCTGGTGGCTGGAGTGCTGGGCTATATCGTGTCTTCCCGGTAAGCCTGTTGCTCTTACTCTTTCTGAACCTGAGGTAGACCATAGACATTTGTTTTCTAGGCTGTTTCCTGAGGAAGTCACAAGCTGGGTGGCTTAGAACCCACCAAGGAATGTATTCTCTGACAGTCTGGGAGCCAGAGACTGAAATCCTGGCATCAGCGGGACCCAGGTTGCCATGAACACACCGTTCTCGGTCTTTCTCTTAGTTTCTGGGGTTGCTGCATCCTTGGTGCTCTTGGTTTGTAGACATATTACTCCAATCCCTGCTTTACTTGTCTCATGGGATCTCCTGTGTGTCTGTTCGAATTTCCTTCTTCTGTAAGGAGACCACACACTGGTTAGGTACTCTAAGGTGGTTTAATCTGAACTTGACTACTTCCCTGAAGGCTGTTTTTGAATAAGGTCATGTTCACAGGTTCCACATAGGCATAAATGGTTGGGGGGAGCATTATTCAATCCAGTAAAAATCACATATCATAAAGTTTACTCTTAAATTGTACATTTCAGGGGGATGTAGTGTATCCACAATGTTGTGCCACTATCCAGCTCCTGAACTTTACATCACCCTAAAATGAAACCTGGCTCGTATTAACCTCCACCCTCATCCTCCTCCTCAGCCTTGACAACCACCCATATGATTTCAATTTCTGTGTATTTGTCTATGACATGTCTTTTGTAACATTTTTACTATGAAATATTTACAAATATAGACTAATGGGAAAACTCCCAGAGTGTGAAAATAGTGCAAGAATTCCCATACACCAGCATTTCTCAGCCTTGGCACTGCTGAAATCTAGGTCAGATCAGTTTTTGCAGTGTGTGTGTGTGTGTGTGTGTGTGTGTGTGTGTGTGTATGTATGTAAAAAGAGAGAGAATAAGGCCCTCCCTGTTGGCGCAGCGGGTTAAAGTGCAGCACTAAGAAGCTAAAGCCACTTCAGCATGAGTTCGATCCCTGCCTGTGAGGTGATGCACATGGCGTAGTAGACCTCCCCTCCTGACCTGCCCACTGCTCCCCTCAGCAGTGTACTTCTTCATTCAGCCTGTTCTGCTCCCCACTCTGTCTCTGGTGAGCCCTCTCACTGCCCCTACACCTCTGGCCTGTACCCCAGTTCTGTATGCATAAATAAATAAATCTTTAAAAAGAAAGAGAAAGAGAGAGAATAGGTAGATGAATAAGTAGGCCAGATAGATAGATAGCAGGCAGGGCCTCTCCCTCTCAGCACTACTAACATTTGGTGCTCCAGCACCCTCTGTGATGGGGACCATCACACTGTAGGGCATGAGTAACAGCCCTGGCTTCCACCTACTGAGTCCCAGTAGTCCCTCCAGCTATGCTAACCAAATGTCTCAGTGCACTGCCAAGCGTCCCCTGAAGACAGTAGGTTCTGCTGGGGAACTGCCGCATACCCTACCCCGGATGACCCCTTTGCCGCATGAGCTTTCTCTCTCCCTCTGTGTCTTTCTTGCTCTCTATGTCTCCAGCACATATCTTCCCCCTCCCTTCCTTCTGCTTATCTATCTGCCTAGCTACCTATCTACCGTGCCTACCTATCCTATCTCTCTCCATCTCTGTCTCTGTATCTATTACACACACACACACGCAATTTCCCTGAATCACTTGAAAGTTCATCACAGGCATTTCCTCTATTTACCCTTAAATATTTTCTACATTTCCTAAGAACAAGGACAATCTGAACCTCATGTTATCATGGGGCAATTATAAAGCCTAAGAAATGCATAATAGATTCAACAGTACTTTTAATACATAGTTTATAGTCAAAATTTGCCAATGATCTAAACAATGTCCTCATAGCCCCTGCCTCAGCTTACTCCCCAGTGCAGGATTGTGTTAGTTGTCAAGTCTTTTTGGTTTCCTTTAATCTGGAGCATTAGCCGTCTTTGTTCTCTTAAAGAGTACAGGCCCATTGTTTCATAGGTCAACCACTGGCAGATCTATGGAGGTCAGGTGTGTCTGCATAAAGGCTCTGGCTTGGCAGGTCATGTTGGGCCTGGGCCCCTAGTTTCTCCCTGGGGCTGCTGCCACAGCTGGCGCCAGCCACGGCTCTGGGAGGGGATGGTGATGTCCCTCCATCTGGGTCGGTCTGCTGTTCCTATGATTACAGTCAGGAGAAAGCTGCCCGATGCGACCCCTGCCTGGACTCAGGTGTGGATTTGGTTTTTACCATATATTTGCAATGTTTCCTTTGTAATTAATAAGCAGTGTGGGAATCCCAGAAAAAAGATCTTTTTAAAGCAGATTCCTCTGAAGAATTGACAACAAGCATGCACATATGCTTAATTTCAGGCATTTAGGGTTTCAGCAACAAGCAAATGGGAAAATCCAGTTTCACTGTGTTTATGGAGCTAACGAATGGAAGGCTTCAGTGTGGTTGCCCAACCTAGAGAAGAGGCCTGCAAACTCCCTTAAGCCTGGGACTTGTGTGTGAGGAGCAATTGCCCAGTATGGACATCGAATCAAAAATAATGAGCAGGAGAGAGGAGCGTGTTCATCACACACACACCCAGCCACCAAGCTCTCCTCCCCCAGGGGTTGGCATGGAGGCCAATTAGCAGACACCCCAAGCAACAAAGCTTTGCCTTCATGCAAACAAGCTCAAAAAACACTCAAGTCCATCAGCAGAAGCTGGGACAACACCGTGTTACCTCTTCACAGTATGGGAGGCAATTTTCTTTGGGAACTTTGCCTTGTGCCACCAATCCGTTAAGATGGCAATGAGGAGGTGTTTTCTTTCATGTGACAGGGAAAGAAACCCACGTAGTCTAGTGGGTAAGAAATAAGGGCTTGATGCCAAGGGATTGGAGCAGCTCAGAGACTACAGGCCACCCCCAGCCAACTGCAGAGGCGTGTACACCAGCTTTCCTACCCCAGGGTTTATAACTGGTTCCTCCAGAGTGTCAGCCTGGTCTAGACTGCACAAAAGAACAAAGACAGAGGGGGTTTGTTCCAGAATAAAGGGGTGAGCAGTCAGGTCATGCTGATGATTGCTGCATGGAAGAAGCAGAGTTGTCATGGAAACAAGAAAGTCACAGGAATAAGAGCTGTTTCCTATTCCTCTCTCTCTGGGTTCTCTCAACACACTGACTTCTGTTCTAGACTCTTCCTTTCCCCTCCCCAGATATTCAGCTTGCCACAAGCTGCCATTAACATCCAGAACTCCCATTTGGAAGCTTGGTGCAATCTGACCGGCTTGTTCTTAAGTATTAATTCCAAAATCCTAGGAGACAGAAATCAATTGCCTTGATCCCAAGATCCAATTTAAAGCAGGGAGAGGGCAGCTCATGGGATGTAGGATCATCCCTTTCAGGGTATGGGGGAGGTCAGCTTAGAAGTGACTGTCGGGGAGATGACTTGGGCACCTCCAGGTTCATAAAAATATATTCACACATGATATTCATGTGGCAAGATGGTTGACCCTGCTTCTCAAACAGATTTCAATGATTTCTCAGCCAATGACCCCTCCCCTGGAGCACTTCTGCCCCCAGGGGACACTTAAGGATGTCTGGAGACACTTTTCTCTCTAAAAAATTATTTGTTGATGATACAAGAAGTGGGGTACAGGCCAGAGGTGCCTGGGAGTGAGAAGATTCACCAGAGACAGAATGGGGAGATCTACTGAAACACTACTGAGGGGAGCAGCAGGCCAGACAAAAGAAGTCTGCCAAGTCATGTGGGACAGCTCACTGGCTGGGGATCGAACTTGTGCTACAGTGGCTGCAACAGCTCCACAGAGCTGCCCTTTAACCGTTGTGCCACCAGGGAGGGCCAGGAGACAATTTTTATTGTCACTTAGGGTGAGGGCACCACTGGCACCGAGTGGGTGGAACCCAGGGAAGGTGCCCAACCTCCTGCCACAGAGGATGAGCCCCTCACAGGGGAAGAAGGAGTAATAAATATCTACAGTGCTGCTGATGAGAATCCCTGTCTTAGCATGGGAGTACATGTCTGTCTCTCTCATCTACCAATCAGCTATCACCTATTATTTATCTGTTTGCTATCTATCATTTATCCATCCATCATGTCATCTGCTATGTCTATCACCCCCACTGCCACCATCATCATTTGTATCTAACTCTATCTATCCACCTATAAGTAACCTAATGTCTATCTATCTACCTGTCATGCTACCTGTCAGGCCAGAGAGTCTGCTAAATATCCTACAACAAAGAAGGATCCACCCCTAATGTCAGCAGTGGGAGGTTCACATTTTGCCCCTCAAGTCCTCTGCACAGAAGGCACAACAGAGAGAACACCCCTGCTCTGCTAAGGGTCAGACCTCAGCAAGGGCACCTTGTTTCTGTTCTTCTTAGCAGAAAAGGAAACAGAGGCAAAGACTAGTTCCATGACGAGGCAATGTTCCTCAGCCAGCTTACACAGAGGACTGTGCTCACGCACACAACACAGCTCATTCTGCAAGACAGCTAACGGGAGCCGCGTTTGGGGGCAAGTGAGGGGTCCGTGCTGGAGTCCACACTGTCAAGGGGATGCCCCTGAGATGGAGATAGGCTCTATGCTGAGTGGATCTTCTGTGACCAAGGGCTGGTTTCCCATCCCCCATTTTGCGCTATTCTCAGGTTGAGTAGAACACTGACCACAGGGCAAAGCTCTGCAGTATGGTAACTCCCTGTGGCTAATGAACACTTGAAAGGCAGCTCATGAAACCAGAAACCAAATTTAAAATTTTATTGTTAGTTAAGGAGCTTAGCTTTAAATGCCCATATGTGCTTGATGGCTCTTGCATCAGACAGCTCAGCTCTAGATTTGACAAGGCACAAGCCTTCAAGAGCAGGATGGAATGGAGTCCTTCTCCCTCCGGGCAGTCAGAGACATGAACACCCAAACTTCAGTGCCCCTTTCTGACAACTGGAGAAACATGATCTGCTTTGCCTTGCCCCAGTCAAGTTTGGAGACTCAGTTGAAAGTACAGATAGCAGATGTCGGTGGGGACAGGGGGGTGGAAAAGATTGCAGCAAGGTTTCAGCAGAACAGGAAAATGGTGTTGACCAGGAATAGTTCACAGATCTTTACTTGTTTTTATGTGACTTTGGGTCTCCTGAGCCCCTATGGAGGATTACTGCTGTTGAAGCCTAGCTGATCCAGGGTGGGGCCTGCCTCCAGAGAGGGCTGTCAGTGTTTAGTGTGCATGCTATGATGTTGCGTGCTCCCATTAATAGGAAATGTTTCTGTAACTGTTCAGAACAGACAACTCTTCAAAATTTTATAATTTTCCCACTTTATGACATTTGAAAGCAACGTGCATCCAGTAGGAACTGTATGTTTGATCTTTCCCCAGGTCAGCAGTGGGTGAGGTCCAACCCTCCCTCCTAAGGCTGGCAGTGGCAATGAGCCCAGGAGCACCAGGGCAAAGAGCAAGATGTGACAGGGTGTAGTGTTGCATGGTTAAGTGAGCTAGTCCACACTTTAGTATAAAACAGTCTTTGTATAGCTGACTTTGCCCAAACGAAGATTAATATCAGTGTTTTGAGCATCTTTAAAGTCAGCTAAGCTGAGCTATGAGGTTCAACAGTGAGAGAGAGTAAATGAATATTCATTTTACCGCATTTTGAATTTACAATGGGCTTATGGGAGGGGTAACCCCATTATAAATCAAGAAAGGTCTGTGAATAATGTGTCAAGTGTTTCATCAAAATGAAGACTTTGATCCACATCAGAGAATTAATACACACACACAAAACACGCACACAGTAGGTGTTTGCACTTCACTCAGTGCAAACAGAAGCCAGCCTCCCTCTCACCTGGGAGATCTGAAATGATCAGATGATACCCCATCCTTGGGGAATTTGCAGGCAAATCCTGCATTTTTCCTAGTCTGATGCTTATAGGAATTACAACTGCATTCCAGTTTCTGCATGGAAACCTCCATCTCTGCTTTTCTGAAACGCCTCCTTTCTCTAACTCAGTCTTCTCTCAGACCCTAGTGAGTCTTGAGCACAGCGATTTCTGCCTTCTTTTCAGAATTTACTGCCTCTCTTCCTCTACACTGCCTGACTCCTCCGAGGTTGGGAAGGGCCTGGCTCGGGGTTCTGCAGGTGTGTGCAGGAGGAAATATCAGGAGAGGCTCCCTGGGTGGTGCTGCAGCAGCAGGTGTGGGTTCTGCTGGCCGCCACACAAACCTCCTCAGGGTAAAGTCTTTGTTGATGTGATATGTCTCCCCCCCCCCACAACCCCCCTTGGGCTTCTGTGTCCTCCATATGCAGGAGTCGTGGTGTATCCCAGTGCCCTGTCCCTCCTCCCGCAGGCACGGGCTCTCCGAGGCAGAGCTGAAGGATGTCCTGTCTCTGGACGATGAGATCCTGCAGGCTGTGTACCAGGACTGGACCCCGCCCAGCAAGGAGCTACTGCGCTTCCCACCCCTGCTGTGGGTGCGGCTTCGTCGAGACCTGGGAAACTGCTTAGCCCGGCGTCCTGTGGACGGCTTCACACTCCTGGCTGTCGCCCAAAGGTAGATCCACCAGCAGTGACCGTCTGGGTCACCAGGGGCCAGGACTCACTGACCAGATGCCTCCTCCTTGTTCCTGATCTTTCTCTCCCCCTTCCTGGAGAACCAAATCCACTTAGCATAGCATGCAGGGGTCTCTATGCCACTGGCTTGAGTGCAACTAACTGCTTTTTAAATTGAGGAGAAAGTCACATAATATGAAGCTCGCCCATTAAAGTGTGCAATTCAGTGGCATTTAGCACATTCACAATGTTGTACAACCAGCATCTTAATCTATTTGTAGAATATTGTATGTCCCAAAAGATGACCCATGAGCGGACTCTAATATTCCCCTCCCCCTAGCCCCTGACAAGTAAATTTATTTAAGAAAAAAAAAAAAAGAGTCTCCCATTTGTAGATAGCTGTTAAGTGACACGTTCGTACAGGTTGTCAGCAGACCCAGCAAACATCCCAAAGGGGATTTGGGATGGACTGCACCTGGGAACACCTCATGGATAGACCAGTTCCTTAGACCCTTTAGCACGTTTCCCCGCTGCAGACAGTTGGCCGAGGTGGTCGAAGAACGCTACCTGTCAGGTCCTGCAAAAGCCAAAAGACACGGAATCTTGGCTGACTTCTTCTCTGGAGCCTGGAGCCAGGGCACCAAGAAACTCATCACCCTGCCACTCGTGGGGAAACCCCTGAACCTGGACCGGAAGGTGAGATGTTTGGAAGCCTTGCAGCCTTGCCCCGCTCTCTGTGGCCAAGCTAAGTCTGCGTGGCATTGGCCTTCTCCCGCCATCTGTCCCACATTTCCATCTAAAACAACCTCCTGACTTTCTCCCCTTCCCACAAAGTGTGAGATAGCGCTTAGCCCCTGAGTATAATTTGGAGTTAAGAAGCTATACATAGAGAATGTGTGACCTTCTAACTTTCCAAGGCAAGGCAGAGTTACAACATTCAAGAAGTATACTTAGAACTTCCCCAAACTCTGGCCTCTCAGACTTTTAATTCATTAGCTTCCGGAGGCACACCTATTTCCTCCCCATTTGGGGACGGATATTTGACATTTTTCTCTGCAGTTTTCCTGGCATGATCCAACTTTCAGTCACTGATTCCTCAAATATGTCTTATTTTATTTCCTATTTAGGAGAGTAGTATGTCGTAGAACACATAGGGAAAATCAAAGAGCAAATCCCCCACAGGAACACCCACTCCCACAGTTCCAGGGTTGCTAGTCACACATTTCCTTCCAGTTTTTCTTCTGTGCCTGGGAACACTAAGGTTTGGCATCCTCAGCTTACATGCTATTCCCTCATTTTTGCCTCTTAAACTCTTCAAGGCTCAACGCAAATGTCTCTTCCTTCAGGAAGCCTCCCAAGATTTCCTCCTTCTTGATTGTTTTTCTCTAAGCTTCCTTCACTCTGATCAGAGCTAAAACTGACTACAGAGTTCCCATGGCCCTCTCCATTTTCCCTTACTGCAGTGTCCCATAACCATTGCTCAATGATAGACTAGGAAATGCTCTTTAAATCTTTTGTTGCAGTTCACCTTTTTGTGTTTTCCCTGTTGGACGTGGGAGGAAGAACCAGGTCTGATTCTGCCTCATGCAGCCCTTTCTCTTCTCTGGTGAAGACCAGACCCGCTCCCCTGTGCTTAGAATCACTGCAAACTCAATCGCATCTCCTCCCTCTCGGACATGGTCTGCCCCCTTCCTCATCTCCAACCTCAGGACTTCCTGTTCCAGCCCATCCTCCTACACAATAACTTCTGACTGTGATATAATCATGCTTCTCCTCTAACACCTTCCATAGCTCCCCAACCTCCTGACAATATTCAGTGCCTGCTTGATCTGCCTATGACCTCCCTAGACTCATCCCCCACCATGATCCTCTGTGCTGCTTTATAATTCACCCTTGAAAAACTGCTTCTGTTCTAGTCATCTTTTGACGTTTGTACATGCTTCCCCCTTGCCCAGGAATGTTATTATTTTCCAAAAGCTGTCTGTTCTGCAGACAGACTCCTTGTTTTT